AAGAGGATATACAATATTAGCACTGTTCAGGATCTAAACATAAAGGGGACGGGTTCATAGACGGTACGTTTCTCAGAAACTGAAATACACCTCACAAAGGATCTGCAATGTTATTTCAAGACCTTAACTTTAGAATGCAACTCGTTTTGCGATTCAATACAATAAATTATATGTAGTAGTAATTTAAATATCAGTATTGTGGCTTAACACATCCTAGTTATATCTCAGACATCTAGAGATATTCGTTTCAATTTCAGTAATGAAAATTTGTGCCCTTCAGTTATGTTTGTTAAATTAACAGTTCAAAGCTTATGCATCAGTTTTATAGGATTATAAGAGTATAGATGGTGAAGCTGCATATATTTTAAGAATTTTATATTTTAATTGTAATTATACTGTGTAGTGAGTGAGTGAAACTGAACTCCCACAGAGCGATTGACACCACGTGACGCAAAAAAAGCAACGCGTCATTACTCGGATGTTGGCGATCGTGCGCCTCCACAATCGGCGAACAGCAACTGCGTGTATCATCAATAAGTTCGAGTGTTGATACCTCTCCATGTCATGACTAAAGGCTGTTAAGAATCTTCTTGCGTTGTCTTCATCTATTTCTTTTTCCACATTTCTTTCCGGTGGTCACAACAAGTTCGTTTTCCTCTTCTCATAGTATCTTCAAATAGTGACTGTCTCTTTCTGATGTTTGTGATAAGCTGACTTTGAGCTTTGGTATCTTTTAAAACATCTTTGCGGATAATTAAAGTGATGTAGGATACCATTATATTCTCTTAAGAAATATTAACACTTTGAATAGTAACTTCAGTCTGCGTCTGTGGCTTGAGCATTGCGAACACGCTTCATAATGCCAGGCTGCCAGGTTCGATCCAAGCTGCAGGTAATTTGGGCAGCAGACAGTCTTGCGTTGGTGACCCAGAGCTGACCGTTTAGAAAGCAATGGCAAACTACTGGACGTAAAATTTGCATGGAAAACCCATTGGCGAGGCGTGGTCAATCCGCACGTAAAAACGGTTTTGATGAAATTAAGCGTTTGTGGGTAGCGATTACATTGGAAATTGTGTGACATTATTTCCTTCTCGTCGCTTTGCTGTTGAGAATATGCGGGCGTAGCTAGCATCATGCTATTAGTACCCTCGCACGCTAGTTTATGTGCGAGTCTTTTTCCTATGTTAATACTGTTAACAAGCTTTAGAAGTGGCATATTTGTAATAAATAGTAATCGTCTATGAACCTGTCTATGTCTATGAACCCGTCCCCTTTATGTTTAGATCCTGAACAATGCTAATATTGTATATCCTCTTGGACCATTAATGCATCGTCCTGTAACATTTAAGTTCAAAATCCTCGATTTATATAAATAGCAAAATATTCCTTTAAAAAAAAAAACACAGTTGAAAGGGTAAGCGGCGAAGATTTTTGTTGTTGTTGTTGTTGACATTACGTGTTAATTGTGTCGCACTTCCCCACCCGTCACAAAAATGATAGGGTTGGCTCTGTAACGTGGTATAAAGAATACGTAACTAACTACATTAACCCATGTTCTTGTGATGTACTGTTTAATCCTTCTTTGTAGTCCTCTAGTGAGCTAAGAAAATTCTTCAGTATGGGGGACCGTGGCAGACCTCTAAAGATAATTGAGAACCACTGTCTGAAGCCACTTAGCTCCCCCAAAATTAGAACAGTAAGAGTTAAGGTAGCCGTAATGAAGGTTGTTGCCCTTTAAATTGAATACGATAAAGACGACTTATTATATAATACAGTACAGGGATGGGACAGTTATCTAGCTAACGTCGGACACAGATCAACATAACATGTGACTGGGATGCTCCACAAGCGAAAGACACGTACACAGCGGTACGTTTCGACCTAATTCTTTATCACTGAACAAGCCAATGAAACGACGTGTGTTGGGCCAGGTTGATCCACTGTGCCCCCGATGTTACTTACTTTAACTCCCCATCTTCCGTAGCTATTATACTGTGGTAAAACCTCATTAACTCGAACTCTCGGTTAATATGAACATAATTTTGGTCATAACAGGGATGTTTGATTCATATTGCATCGGTTATATATTTATATATGTAGTAAGTAAGTTTGAGCCCACCAGGACATCACACGGAGCGATAACCACCCGGTAACACAAAGTGCCTCCATTCGGATGAGGCTCACCTGTGGAGAGGTCCCGGAAACCTCGTTCAGCCGTTAGGTTATATTAGGACCCCTAGCAACAGCCAGGGTGGAGCTTCAAAATAACGAAAAATTGCATCTCTCATGGGGACGACGAATTATAGCAATATATATATATATATATATATATATATATATATATATATATATATATATATATATATATATATATATATATATAACTAAACAGACAATGTATTGATCGGCACTAACTGAAAGAAGTAGAAAGAAGAACACACTAGACTCAACATAAAAATCTAAAGCTGTAGCTACTGTTCTGGGAATCGAACCCGTCACCTCCAAACGACGTGTGCACCTCGCAATGGCAATCTAAATGTGGTCAAGTGAACAATGTGAAGACAAGAATCGATTATTATTGTTTGGAGATAACGATTCAGCTAGGTGTGACCAATTGATCTGGCCGGCCCTCTACACTCAAAGGAAAGGTGAGACGGACATATAATTATCAAACTGCCACGTGTGGGTTCCTGGACATTGCATGTAGTTGGAGTCGACTAATTGGGAGCTTTCTTCGAAGTCGGAGAACATCTGCCAGAGAAGCAAGGAGCCAACAGTCTGCATGCAAATTAGTTAGAATTGTGAAATAGATTTGCACGCAACCCCCAGTTTCTGGAACCTGACTGGAATCCAGAAGTGGACGAGCGACCAGAACTTTCAGCCGGAATTTACAGCCGGTGAACGCGAAGAAGAAGAAGAAGAAGAAGAAGAAAGAAGAATTATCAAACTGCTTTGTGTACTATCGGAATTTGAACTCTTTGCTGACTGCAGAAGGTGAGGACGGAGTTCTTATGTGAACGTCTCGATTGCTATGATGTCATTTCTTAGCTCAACAATGAACACTCAACTCATGCACAGATGACCTAGAGGTACGGACGTCGAAGGAATACATTAATAGAAAAGAATGCAGCAAACGTTATCAGTGCTAGGTACATTTATTAAAATACTGGATAGTGAATTTCAGATAAAGAAACAAAAATCCAGGAGAGGGGCCCGAGACATCATATGTAATGTTCTCCCTGTCAAACATAACACCACATTCCAAAGTAGCATGAAATGGGAAAATACTATGTCACGATGAAAATTAAAAACTATGCCAATCTTATCTTGGAAATCAGGTCACTCATTAAAAGTTTGAAATTCCTCTTTGTTTGATTACCTGTAGTACTTTGAAGTTTCACGTAAAGTTCAACCTAAAGCCTAACCAGTTCCACCTTATCATTAGTTGCCTTAAGTCCCCGAGTCACATTCATGTTAAATTTTCTATAATTTTTTTTCCACGAGGAGTGGGGTGGGGTGGGCAGTTCTAGTATTTAAAGCTTATTGCCTCTCATTCCTTCAGTGATGCATCCGCCAATTATGATATCATGGCTCATCATTCACTGTGAATGGCATTTCCCTCAATAGGCCTTATTTTATAGGCCTTATTTTAGTACTATTTCAAGCATGTTTAGAAAATTGTTCATTGTAATATTCATTCTGCTTCACATAATCACAATTATATATCCCATTTCCAGACGTGCTTTCTTTTCATAAACACACATAGTTCCATCCTCCCCCCCCCCCCCTTACGTGGTGCCGTTGTATGTCGTGTAGGGGTTGCAGTCTTTTCTTCCATTACGTAAAAGTAACTGTGAAGTCGGGAGATGTAAACCAGCGTTGTTGCACACGGTTATAAACCACACGTGCTCTGCCGCCAGTACAGACAGCTGATAAGCCTGTGTCGCCGTCTGCAAGAAACTCCGTCGCTACAGCGATGTTCCTCCATTTACCCCAGAGTGTTAACTCTGGTACCCATTACCTAGAGGCTGGGTGAACCCCAGGAACCGGCCGGTTTCGAACACTGGTTATGGGCTGCAGAGAGTCGCAGCTGGATTTAAAAGCTAACGCCACCCCTATTCCATTACGTTCTAGACTGTGCAGGATGGAATCCAGTCCAATGCGCTGACCTCTCTGATCAACTCTCCTCTTAGGATTCATATCTCTTGTTTCCTCCGTTCATTGGTTTCCCAATTAAGTGCCGGTTTGGCGTTTTTTCTTCTCAACTGGACGTGCCCAATAAATCGCCATCGTATTTGTCTTATAACTGTTTTTAGTCCTGGAAAGTTTTTGTTCTGACAATATTTGACCGTTGCATTTTCTTCTATATGCATACTTAGTGCATGGCGAAACACTGAGCTGAGTGCGTGACACAACACTATGAGCTGCATATTTAATTTTGAACGCATTTCGACTGTACCCAACGTGATTTATGTTGTGAACTGTAGCTTCAGAAAATGGAGATTGGCTGTTTCCACATAACTGTTGGTGACATGTGATTAATCGCGTGTACAGCTAATGGTCTGTTGTAACTGCTGCTTCCATCCATGAAAAACTGCATTTCTAGTGTCAGACTATTTGTGTCGACATTTCTTATGGCTACCTTTTGCATTTAGTGCGTGTGTATGATATTGCTTTGTATCAATTTAGAAAAACACGAGACAATAAACTGCACTGTCTATTGTTGGCTTCTTCATTGTTCAAATTTTCAGAGGAAATATTCGTCAATTTAATTTCTTAGTTTCGTTTATTGGTGAGCAATTTTAAAATGCCACGTTTTAAATATGACGTCATGCAATGAGACCTATCCCCCTAGCAGATGATTGTCGGATCGGAAGGGGAAGCCATCTTGTCTGCAGGCGTAGTGAAATATATGTCTGCTAGAGTAAACAGACACTGTTTCTGAAGGTGTCTTCCCAGTCTGGCCCTGATATTCTACATTTACAGTTTATTAATAAAATATGTCCACAATGAATCCAGACTAGTAAGTATTTGTGGCTCTATCTCACGTTGTTGATGCAGCTAAGTTGCTTTATATGTTAATAAATAAAAATTGGGTCGACTGTGACTAGTCTCTGACTAGTGAAAAAAAAAAAAAAAGACATTTGCAATACATGTAATCGAGTGGTTATGTTTCATAACAAAATAACTTTATTGTCAACGTTGGCATTGTGTCTGGTCTCATAGTGTGGTTTTGTAATGTAGTTTTCAGCGTTATGACGTTAACGTTGATCAGTTGTTCCTTGAACTGGTTTAATTTGTTAATTAATTTCCTTCCTAGCGTTCTTGTTTTGATTAACTGTTTTACTTCCATTGTCGACCGTGACCGGAGTCATATGACTGACAATTTATTACAGTTTGCTATATTTCACTTAGTGCTTTCTATTGTAAATTTCATTAACTAAATCCTTTCAGTAGCCATTCCAGCTTGGGTGATTGTAATGTCTGCAATGGATCTCGTAACTGTTTTTTTGTGTGTGTGTGTGCCTTTCATCCCTACAGTAGACTTGATCAGATTTGCTGTTTGATTTGGAAAAGAAACAAATATTGACCATTCTCTCTTTCTTATTTCCTTTAAAATCATTGTCCCTGTTAGAGACTTTCAGACACTCAGTATGATAAAAAAAAAAAAAAACAACTACACATGGTCAATGTTTAACTGATAGGAGGCCTATATTTATTTTTCTTTGATTTTCTTTACTTATTTGAAGAGAACAATTATCAGTCTACTCACAACACAAGACATAATCACTGTCGTAATGAGCTGAATAACACTTGCTTAATAAACCAGAGATTGAATCAGATTGGAGAAACTAATGAAGGTAACTGAAATTGGTTAAGTCATGCACAAGTGTTCAGCATATGCAGAAAATACAATTATTATAGCTTTATACACTTTTGTTTGAGTACTAACTATAGAAATGTCAGCAACTTCAAGTTGACTCCTTCTTTCTTCATGTGTTGACTTCCCAGTAATTTCATTTTGATTGTGAAGGTAGACCCTGTAATTTGAATTGCTAGACTCAGTTGAGCTTTGGTCTTATTTCCTGCATCTGTTATTTATTTTTTTTGCATCTTGCATTGCCTCCTAGAATGAGTGAAGAACATTTTGTAGCTTTTGGTTGCAGCTGATGTAAGGATTCTACTCTTGAGTTATGAGTTGGGGTATTTTCATGACACTTCCCATAGGTGCTCAGATGGGGTATTTTCATGGCACTCCTCATAGGTGCTCAGATGGGGTATTTTCATGGCACTCTCTATAGGTGCTCAGATGGGGTATTTTCATGGCACTCCCCATTGGTGCTCAGATGGGGTATTTTCATGGCACTCTCTATAGGTGCTCAGATGGGGTATTTTCATGGCACTCCTCATAGGTGCTCAGATGGGGTATTTTCATGGCACTCCCCATAGGTGCTCAGATGGGGTATTTTCATGGCACTCCCCATAGGTGCTCAGATGGGGTATTTTCATGGCACTCCCCATAGGTGCTCAGTTGGGGTATTTTCATGGCACTCCCCATAGGTGCTCAGATGGGGTATTTTCATGGCACTCCCCATAGGTGCTCAGTTGGGTTATTTTCATGGCACTCCCCTTAGGTGCTCAGATGGGGTATTTTCATGGCACTCCTCATAGGTGCTCAGATGGGGTATTTTCATGGCACTCCCTATAGGTGCTCAGATGGGGTATTTTCATGGCACTCCCTATAGGTGCTCAGATGGGGTATTTTCATGTCACTCCCCATAGGTGCTCAGATGGGGTATTTTCATGTCACTCCCCATAGGTGCTCAGATGGGGTATTTTCATATCACTCCTCATAGGTGCTCAGATTCCCTCTTCATCATTTACATCTATTAATAGTGCCAGTGCTATGCTGGTTAATAAAAGTTCTTGTACATCTGGTGTTCCTCCCATGCTTGGCTGTGTCGATCTTTAGTTCAAATTCTTGACATTATTAGCAGGGTTGTGGACAAGCTCCCGAAACCCTCTAGTTGTCCAGTATCTCTAATGACATTAACAGTGCAATCCGTAGGCCGGCCATCAACATCTAAGGCAGACCCCAATTCTACTGTAATGCTGGACTATGTCTTTCAAGATGGAACTGAGCCTTTGAAATAATTTTGTTACTGTTGTTTTACGAACCTGTTGCTCTTTCGTTCTTGATTGTCCCTGCACTAATCCATTACTTAAACATTTATCTATCGGATTATCTTTAATCCCAGCTGTCTCTTGAGCTAGGACTTTTAAACTGAATAGAGTTGCGTCTGTCATCTTTGTCTTTGTATAAGTGGACTGTTTATTTTGACTATACAAGACGTTTCAGTGACTGGTAGCATTTTTGTGTCAGTCTGTTTGGAGAAGGACTTAATGTTTGTAATGCTTATTGTTCAAGATATGTATAATGTTTCTCTTTGTTTTTAAAAAAAACTGAGATCAGAGTTTTGACATGAGAAGAGTCTCTATATAAAGTTGCATCTTTTATCTGATGAGAGCGGGACTAATAATTACTTTTTTATTGTCTGAATTTGAGTTATTTTTATACCTCTAATCAATCAGGCAAGCATTTTGTGGAAGCTGCAGTAGTATCATAGTTAGCTCTTTCCTACTGGCCCTGTGGTTGTGTGTTTAAGCCTTACTCCACTTGGCTAGTTTTGGTGTGTCACAGGTCAACCCATATAAATGAGTACAAAGACATTCTATGAGACTTGAAGGCTGCCGAACCTGTGGGTTTTAGCCATTAAGGCAAGCAAAGAATATTAACACTGACCTAACTTATCAAAAGAGGCGATTAAAAAGAATTAGCATGGGATTATCATCACACCCTGTAGATAAATTTTGCTGCAGAAGGCAAAAAATAATAAGCAAGTCTAAGGAAAAGAACATAAGACTCAAGCTGGCTAGCAGCTTACTTGACTATCCGGTGGTCATCCCCTTTTGAGACTGGCAATTTTTATACTGATCTAAGATCTTTAGTTTATTCAGCTTAAACTGGGCACTAGGAAATTTTCTGGGAAGTAATGGCAGCTACACCAATGTTGACAAAACTCTTACGAAAAGCAAAGGACATCGTTACATCTTTAGTTATTCTATAGACCAGCTGACTCGCTACCAGTTAGTGGCAAGGAGCTTTATTGGTTCATGGGTGCTTATTCAGTTTACTGATATCAAAATCATAGCACACCAGGCATACCCGTAGATGCTCTGTCTCCCACAGCAAAGGTCCTAAGGTGTAGTTGTTAAATGTTCCTTACCGGATCCACATAATTCCTAGTTCACATATTCTTACGCATGTTATTTAATCTAACCTTCTGTTGTCTTTCAGCATTAATTCAGAAATGGTTTTCAGAATGTCTCCTTTGTTCTAATGGCTATCACTTTTGTAGCCAGGATATCGCTGTTTAATTCAGAAAAACTTACAAAGGGTACTAGAATTTGATTTTGTGACTCAGCATCTATAAATAGCACTATAGTATGTCCTTTTGCCAGGCTGGTTTGGGCCATGTCATATTTTCACATGCTGTCTTCAGGTATAAGAACCTTTCCTATTTTATTTACTCTTATTAATGGATTCCAAAAGCTTGGTATATCCTGGGCCTTTTGCAAAGCTTATTCTTATTTTTCAAAATGTCAGATGCAGATAGTTATTTTGATTTTGAGGTTATTGATTCTTGGATGTGTAAATTGTAAGTAAAATATGTATGCACATTAGATTGGGCATTAAAAAAAAAATTACATCTGAAAGAGTTTAAAATATCAGGTTAGTGTCTGGATTTGAGGTAAAATATTTATGCACTTTAGATTGGGCAGTTTTTTTTCTAATATTAAATCTGCAAGAGTGTTTGAAATGTCATGTTAGTGTGTGGATTTGAAGTTACATAATTTGAATTTGCACCAAGTGTTACTAATGAATAATGTGCTAGATAGAGTTCATATACTTAGAGCAGTAAAATAGAGTAACATTGTAAAATATGCCTGTTCTTTGTTAATACCGAATGTTGGGTGGCACATGATAAACCATACATTCAGCAGTGTGCCAGTGGCTTTAGGCACAGCTGTACATTGGGAAGGATATTAGCCCTAGCCTAAGAAGAGGGAATACACCCTAAAAACTTAATGTTATGGCAGGGCAGACAAGGCTTTAGCCTTGGTTTGCAGCTGGACTGAGGGTAAAGCTGTGGCAGGCAAACGGTACTACTGTTCTGATGCAGCAGCTTCTGAAGCAGGCTTTGTTCCATACACATTGGTGTTACCGTTCTGTTCGAGTAAACAAGGCCAAGAGAGGGATTATGCATGGCCAACCATTGGTCTCTGCCATACTTCAAAGTGTGGGATTCCAATTTTGAAAGATTAAAAGAACTTTAATTGAATAGTTTTATATTTGTTCCCATCTCACAGTGATTATCTATTCAAGTTGTTGCTAATTGGGGACTCTGGTGTTGGAAAATCCTGCTTACTGTTGCGATTTGCTGTAAGTATGACAGTGATTATTGATTATTTATTTATACCCAACATTTTGCAGACAGATTTTCTCTAACTTTATCATGTTTTGAATTGGTAATTCTCTCTCTCTATAAACAATATAAATTTTTTTTTCCAAAGACTCAAAATATAAATTTACTTCAATTTTAACTCTTGTGTAAGATAAGTGTAATCTTGGGTGTTTTTTTTTTAAGTACCTTTTGTTTAGTATATTATATGCATGTGTTTTTAGTGTTCCCCTAAACAGTGATTTGGTTCCCTCAGATATGACAGTACATTATCCGCCAATCACTTCTGGGGTGGGGCTTCAGCATCCAGCCTTCTCAGATAATGGCTAAACACCAGTTGGGGAAACAGCCTACCAGTAACCACTGTTACTCGTTTCGTGCACAATTTTGAAACAATCATCTTTCCTATATCAGCCAGATTACCAGCATCTGGAATTCTTTTATACAAAACTATTTTCAAATTCCAAATATTTAGATGTGTATACATGTGATGTGCCTTAGTCTAGCATGCTATTTCTTCTTCTTCTGCCTTTCTTTCCCCAAATGGAGCATAGGCCCTCAACCAACTCACACCAGGTCGTTCTATCCTTCGCCATTGCATGGAGCTCTCCCCATGTCCTTCCCATCTTTCTAACTTCATTCTCCAGCTCTCTTCTCCATGTGTTTTTTGGCTTTCCTTTATTCCTATACTTCGATTGTTCTCCCTATATCATAGAGAGTTCTAACATTCCAGGTGCCAATTATGGAGGTTAATATGCGTTAATGCGAGTGTATGCTAGATATGCTGAGACAGCAGTCTGTCAATCTTTCCACAAGGGACTGTGATAAACATTCTGGGTGTTTTTCGCTGGCACAGGAGCGGAGCAAAGATGGGGCGACCCGTTTGCTATGAAGCTGAAACTAAGACTTCCAGACTACCAGACTACCAATTATGGAGGTTTTCTTAGCTGAGAGGAGGTACGTCAACGATCCGGACTCCTTGCGGCTTTCTCCACACTGTGTCATACTTCTATTTGAAAAGCCTCCTATGTCATTTTAGGCCGGTAAATTAATCAGATAACATTTCATGTACCTTTTAACTCTTTAAGGCCCAAACAACGGTGTGAGCGTAGTTTGAGAAGTTCCGTTCTGCCCAAACAACAGTGTCATCGTCAATCGTGTGTCCCTTACATTTTGCTTCGCACACGCATTCGTACTAGTTTCTAATGTTTGGAGGTACGAATGGACTATTCAGGGAAAGTCACTCTGCCGAAATCCTTTTAGTTTCATTTCTTGGACTAAACCACACGTGGATAATTTGAGAGAAAAAAACATCAAAATTTTTTTAACAGTTCATTTTCCAAGTTTGTTTTTGAGTGCCATGAATACCAATGTTCTAACCACAAGTACAGGTCGCAGAATGCGTCTTTCTGCTGCCGAAATTCTGAAATTGTTTCAGTCAGATGTTTTTAATTGTGATAATGATAATAAAAATTTTGATTTTTCGGAAAGTGATTCGGACGGTTAATTTTCCCCAGTGAAACTGAGCGATCAGCTGTTCCGAATCTAGCAATTCTGATGAGTTTATTACACAGACATTGTCCCATACTACCGTATTTATAGTGTAAGAGAAGGAAAGTGCTCTAAACAAAGAGACAGTACTATACTATGGCTAAGCTACATTGAAATCATCGCGGCTACAGTCTGTAAATAACTGTACAAAATGAATAGTAAATAGTGTGTGTGTAATGGCTCATTTTTCTGCCATTTTTTCTCTGAAATTTTGCTTAGCACTTGGTGAGAACTAAGAGCCCCTGAGTGATAAACTAACCCAGAAAGTTATCATAACTTTAGAATATGTTAGGAAATTGAACAAACTTTGAAGTTGTGTTCTCAAATTTAGATATTTACTACTGTTGTGGCTGCAAAACCATGGTAAGTGAAGAATTTTTGTGTGAAATGTTGTCCTTGTGAAATTAACACCTGCTGAATTCTTCGTTTCCACTAACTATAACAAAATTAAACAAACACTTATCAGATTCAGAATGTACATTCATTTCTCTTTAAAAAAATATATACTTTTATAGGGATTAGAAGTGTATTACAATCTCTACAGTCTTTCTTGTACACCCACCCCTCTGCCATTTTTGTAAAGGGAAATTAATGTGGGCCAAGTCTGTCAAAATTCATGAGCCTGAAAGAGTTAAAAGTTGATGAATTAGACGTACTTCCTTCGAAGTCAGAGTGCGTCTGCCTGAGATAAGAGAAAACAATAGTTTGCATACAGATAAGCCAGATGGATAACATAGACGTGCAAGCAAAACTCAAATTTTGGAACAAGTCTTAAAAGTGCAGACATGGGTGAAGAACCAGGACTTACTGCGGGAGTTTCCAGCCAGTGAATGCACAGAAGGAGAACAGATATATGTCAGTTTAAAAAAAAAATGTGTTAGGGCACACAGAAACACTGCAGCTAATAAACAGTCTTCCAGAAAGTATGCTTCTGTGATACATTTGTGGCGTGTATGTCTGATGAAGTCCATGACAGATTTGTGCAGACAAGAAGCATTTAAGAATGTGTACCCTTCATTGATTATATTGTGAATATGTGCAACAATTTGTTATCCTAGGTGTAGCGTTCAATCTCAGCTTCACATAGTTTGGTAGCAGACCGCCTTGCGTTGGTTTCAACAACGGTATTGAGCGTTGGCTATTCAGGAAGTGATGGCAAACTGCTGAAAGTCAAATTACCTAGTGAAACCACAGAACAGCAAGAAATGTTAGGTTTGGTTTTGCAGCATCCTGTAAAAGTCATGCAGCAAACTGTATTTGCCAGAAACACTTAACATTTTGAGAATGGTTCATGTACTTTCATTTCATACTCAAGGAGTCACTTATATCCTGTGCCCATCTTTGTGTTGGTCGGCCCCTGCCACTCCTTCCTGGTACCATGCCTTCTGCTATAATTTTTTACAGTCCGTCGTGGCGCTTGATATGACCAAAATATTTCAATTTTCAAGAAAAGATGCTGTTTATTAGCTAATCTTTCTTGATGTTCAGATCTTTTAAGATGTCAATATTTCTCCTCTTCTTTGTCCAAGATATTATGAGAATCTCTCTACGGCATTTCAGCTCAAAAGCCCCTATTCTCTTTCTTAAAAACTGAGAGATAGTCCAAGACTCACATCCGTATGTAGCCACAGGAAAGATGCATGCTCTCAAAATTCTCATTTTTATCTCCTTGCTGGTGCTTAACCATAGACTTTTAAGGCTGTTCAATCTTTGCATTGCTATGGCCATCTTTTTAATTTCTGTCGAACAGTCTCCATTGCTGTTTATTATAGAGCCTAGATATTCAAAGTTTGTGACATTTTCTTTGCCTTCAACACATCTCAAAATCATGGTAGAGGAAGACCTCAGAATCTTCTGTCCATCTGTAATTGTTGGTGTAACATCAGTCTTGGGTGAAATATATTGGATTCCCATAGCATTTTTTAAAATAGTAAACGATGTCTCTTATTGTCATGTTTTCTTCTCAGGATGATACATACACAGAGAGCTACATCAGTACAATTGGTGTTGATTTTGTAAGTATATTTGCTATAGTTATGTTTCACTATAATCAAGGGGGGTATAGAGACATGATTAGTTTAGTCAAAGTAGGCATGTATATAGAGATTAGTATTTTAGTCACAAGTAGACATAGAGATCATTGGGAGATGGATTGCTGTAGTTACACATTAGGCAGGTTTATAGGGAGATTAGTATTTTAGTCACAGGTAGGGTGTAGAAATCATTGGGAGATGGATTGCTGTAGTTACACAGTAGGCAGGTTTATATGGAGATTAGTAATTTTAGTCACAGTTAGGGGTGGAAATCATTGGGAGATGGATTGCTGTAGTTACACAGTAGGCAGGTTTATATGGAGATTAGTATTTTAGTCACAGTTAGGGGTGGAAATCATTGGGAGATGGATTGCTGTAGTTACACAGTAGGCAGGTTTATAGGGAGATTAGTATTTTAGTCACATGTAGGCATAGGGATCATTGGGAGATGATTGCTGTAGTTACACAGAAAGGTTAGTTTATAGGGTGATTATTATTTTAGTCACAAGTAGACATAGAGGTCAATGGGAGATGATTGCTGTAGTTTCACAGTGGGCTGGTTTATAGGAAGATGATTTGCTGTAGTCACCTATGCTACCACACTAACCCCAAACAGAGTTTTAAGGAGGAGGATAGCTTCAGTCGCAAAGTACTGTCGCAAAGTACTGACACACTAGCCTCAGAGTGTATGGGGAGAAGATTGCTTTAGTTAAAATTGCTAAATAAGACAGTGGTAAAGGAATGAATGAACATGGCAGAGATAATTGTAACATTACTGAATCGCTCAATGATATATAACATGGAGATGATTGTAACATTGCTAAATCACTCAGTGGTGAATGAACATGAAGGAGAAGATTGTAACATTGTTTAATCACTCAGTTGGGATTTAGTCAATGGTGAATGAGCATGAAGGAGAAGATTGTAACATTGTTTAATCACTCAGTTGGGATTTAGTCAATGGTGAATGAGCATGAAGGAGAAGATTGTAACATTGTTTAATCACTCAGTTGGGATTTAGTCAATGGTGAATGAGCATGAAGGAGAAGATTGTAACATTGTTTAATCACTCAGTTGGGATTTAGTCAATGGTGAATGAGCATGAAGGAGAAGATTGTAACATTGTTTAATCACTCAGTTGGGATTTAGTCAATGGTGAATGAGCATGAAGGAGAAGATTGTAACATTGTTTAATCACTCAGTGACGAATCAACATGCAGAAGATGATTGTAACATGACTAAATCACTCGGCGGTGAATGAACATGAAGGAGATGATTGTAGCATTACTAAATCTCTCAGTCATGAATGAACATGAAAGAGATAATTGCTACATTGCTAAATCACTCAATGGTGAATGAACAGGAAGGAGATGATTGCAACATTACTAAATCACTCAGTGGTGAATGAACATGGAGGAGATGATTATAACATTACTGAATCACTCAGCGGTGAAAGAACATGAAAGAGATGATTGCTTTATTCACATTTTACTGATAACAACTGATAAGAGTAGATCGGGGAAGATGATAACTTTAATTATACAGTAGACAAATACTTTATAGGGAGATAATTGTTTTAATTATACTATAAACTGAGTGACATCGTAGCTATGATGCATGTGTACGAAATTTTATTCTTTTATTTTCATGTGTGCGGTTTCTGTCTGATGACTTGGTACATGCTGTTTGTTTTGATTTCTACTCCTTTGTGTTCTCAAAATATGTCCCTTTATGTATTTGACTTCTTTGGCCTACCTTTTTTTAGTGCAGTCTGTCAGATAGCTTTGAGATAGATACCCAACCTTTGACATAATTATGATACCAACTGTTATCAGTTTATCACTAACACAAATATTCAACACAGAGTAGTTTCTGTTGATGTTGGCACATCGAAATGTAAATAATATTCAGTCAGTATACATTTGACCACATTACCCACAGAGTGCTGATGGTCTGTAAAAATATGGGACGCTCTGCCCATATGCCCGATGCGCCGAAAGGCGTGAAAAGGGAACTTAACTTTTATTTATTTTACATTTACATTTTTTTTTAAATGTTTCTTCTTCCTACTGTAGGTAATGCTTCTGCAGCCTCTGCTGATTCTTTGTGTTATTGTGTAGAGTCTGTCATGGAGCCACTTGACATAGTGGTTGTTATGTTAACCTGCTGAGACAGTGGTCTGATTTCATTGCCGACTGCAGGCAGTATTGTTTTGTTTTCTCCCTACCACTGTGGCTGTAGGATAAACTTATTCTCATAATCTTTTTTTTTGCGTTCACCAGCTGTAAACTCCAGTGGAGTTTGGTTGTTCATCCACTTTTGGACATTGCTGACAATGGGCCGTGACCATATTTAGCTTGTCGGGCATCAGTTCACCACCCAGTGAGGCAGAACCGGCCATTTTGTCCTCTTGTTCTTTGCCCAACACACTTACATGACTTGTGAAAATATCCAAAGAACCCTAGTTATACGGGACCTAATGCTTGCCACTCTGCAATCATCATGCCTGTCTCCACCTGTCTCAGCATGCTATTTGAGTTGCTTACAATCACATGGATGTGTATGCAGCTGGTTCTCAAGCCAGTAGAAAGCTGCTGTGACTGTCTCCACCTCCATTCACTAACTAGATCATATGCTAGGCTTTGTTGTACTCAACATCATCCATTCACTTCTGCAGCAAACCTCCACGCACTTTTCCTGCCTCTCAACACAGAGCCATCTGTATAGATAATGACATTACCTGGGCTAAGACTGTCTTTAATCAATTGTTGAATACCCCCGTGTGGGTTCCGGGGCCCTACTATGGGAAAAACAAGAATAGACCCACTGCCTACCAAAAAGCATGTCGTCAGAGTCGACTAATTGGGAGCTTCCTTCGAAATCGGAGTGCATCTGCCTGCTAGGCAAGGAACCAAAAGTCTGCATACAGATCTGTCAAACGGGTGCACACGCAACACTCAGGTTTTGGAACAGGACTGCAGTCCAGAAGTGGAGGAACAACCAGAACTTTCCGCCGGAGTTCACAGCCGGTGAACGCGAAGAAGAAGAATTGTTGAATTTCTGATTCTGCAGTGCCTGCTGGTTAGTTCCTACGCAAATCTGTTTCCTGTGATGTTTTGACCCACTTATCTCCACTCCCAGTTTGTGAAGCTGGGCATAAAGGTGTTTATTTTATTTTTTATTTCTCAGAAAATTAGAACAATAGAATTGGATGGGAAGACTATCAAGTTGCAAATAGTAAGTAGTTTTTTGTTTAGCAATTGTTTAAGGACAGTAGATTTTTTTAATGAATAATTTTACGCACGTTTTGCTTTGAATTAAGTCCATTATTTGTTTTTCTGTGTGAATAATTTTTTCTATAAATAACCTTGCTAAATTAAATATTTATGCAGGAGAAAAATATTCTTTGTACAATTACATAGACCTTCATTTTTTATAAGTATGTTTTTTAGTTTGTGTAATGAATATATTTGATACTCATTTCAGAATATTATACATGAGTGTATTTTGTGTGTGTTAGTGTGGTTGTATTTTTTATTTATTTATTTTTGTATAATTTTGTAATTACTAAAGAAATATTTACAGTAGAATATTAAAATTACAAAAACCCTCAAGAATATTAATTTGCATGATGGTGACTCGATATTGTCTCTCTCTTTTTTGTGATCGTTCATGAATGTCACTCCCCCAGAAAGTAAGTAGAAGAAAGAATCTATTTAATAATGCCTTGAGCATATTTCACATATGTTGCTAGCCCCATATTATGTAGACAACTTGGCATAGGATAGGTGTCATGCCAGCCACTTTATTTCTTATGACATTTCCCGGTACCTACTTTGCGCTGGAATGGCCTTGGAGTTCATTTACCTTACTTGCCATACCGCTGTGAATGCATCAAACACTAATAATGTAGATTGCTTTCTTCTTCTGCATTCTTCCATAAACTGGTGTTTGGCACATTGTGTTGTGGTATACAGCTGTGTTGCTGTATCTGCGCCTTCAGGTCCAACAATCCAGTTTTAGCAAATCCTAATTAGTTGTCTTTTATGACATGCTTGGGTGGGTTACTGGATCTATCCGCACCCCCTTCTTCAAAGATCCACATGGGTAAGTGTACTGTATTACTTTACAGGTTGGCAGATGTTATAATTAGTATGCAGAGCAACTGGCAGAACGGTTAACAATGTTAGACTCTCTTGTGGAAGAACATGGTTCAGATCTTTGGTAAAGTTGATTTGGTAATTGGCAGCATTAGATAAATGACCACCATTTATTGAGTTTCATGAATAGGTAAAACATACTAAACGCTAGAAATTCCTGTTTCAAATCCAACATTTCAACAACCCTTCATTCCCCCCTCCCCACTCCCCATCCCTTTTCAGATACCCAAGTAAAATCTTTATTAGACATATTTGAAAGAATTTGAACAAAGTAATGAAAGAACATGAAGGCTTGTAGTGATTTGGTTAACTGCCTTTACCTTTTCAGTAGAGGAGTGAAAACATAACAGGTGTTGAGTCAGAAATGTGTGTGGTAGCTGCAGTTTTGACCGGCCGTTCTAACTAAAGATCACTGGTAGTCTTATTGACAGTTTTTTTTTTTTAGGTCATGTTTGTTGTCACATTGGTCCATAACTTCCTGTCTTGTGTGTCGCTAATAGTTTCTTACACAGATCTTTTTCATGACATGTCAAATTGTTCAGTAACACCAATTTTTGGCAGTTGTTGATAGTATGAATTTTGTAATTGCTGTTAAAATGAACACATTGTTCTTATGTTGACAGTGGGACACTGCGGGTCAGGAGAGGTTTAGGACAATCACATCCAGTTATTACAGAGGTGCTCATGGCATTATTGTGGTCTATGATGTGACAGACCAGGTGAGTTTGACTGGTTCCGTAAGTGTTTTTATAACCTTAACCCTTTTGCTCCCATCAATTAAAAAAATAAAGGGGGGTGGGGTGGGGTTATAAACCACCCTTAAGAATTCCGGGGGGGGGGGGGGGGGGGGGTATTATAAATTGTTATACAAATTTATCTGCACTTAAATTTTTTTTAAATAGCTAAGGATATATCTGTATGTGTGCGCACGCGTGTGTGAAAAAAGGGGTAATCAGTCAACACAGAAAACACATTAAATTTAATACATTCCCTGGCGCTTAAACAAATGCCTAATGTATTAGGTGACTTATGCTGTGACCCCTGTCACTGAGGCTTACGGGAACATTTGAGATCAACTTGGCTTTTTAAAAGCCATTTGGGTTATAAGGAAACCCTCCTAAATACTATTTTTTAGTTACTCCTGCGGCATCCATGGCGAAGGCATTGCGAGTTTGAATCATAATTTCAACGCACTGCGATCAAAATCCACTGCTTGCTGTGTAGATTTTTATCATGTTATGGGGCGTTGCAGGTAGACCCAGCCTAAAATGGGTACCAGGATGTTTGTTCTGGGGAAGTAAAGGTAGCCGGTGTATTGCTGACCACATTACCCACCTAGTGCCGATTGGTCTGTAAAAATATGGTTGCTCTTCCCATATGCCCGATGCGCATCAAGGCATTGAAAAGGGATCTTTACTTTTCACTTTATTGTATTTATATCCTTGCCTGTTAAACACTGCACAGATGCCCAGTGAACTAGTAGAATTTAACAACCCTTTTGATAACAGGTTACCACAGACAGGGCTATTTATGGGGCACAACAGGAAATGCATGTCTTGAGTGAAATAGCATCAGGTCAAATGGTTTTCGGAATTGAGCTTGGTTGACCCAGCCTGAAATGTATACCAGGTAATATCCTGATGTGAAGGCGGCCGGCCTGAGTTAACCTCATGACCCACTGAGTGCGGATTGGTGTATAAAATATTAGTTTTACTTCATATGCCCAATTGGCCCCTGGTGTAAAGCGTCCTTTACTTACTTTGCTTACTGTAATTGTTAGATTGCTGAAATTCTTTGTCTTCCTGACCAGGAATCCTTCAATAATGTGAAACAGTGGCTTCAAGAAATTGACAGATATGCCAGTGAAAATGTCAACAAGTTGTTGGTGGGAAACAAAAGTGACTTAACAACAAAGAAAGTTGTTGACTTCACAACAGCCAAGGTATCTTTTTTTTATTTTATCTTTTGACACATTTTAATTTGCAATTTTGTTTCTTTTGTTTCTTTTATGCTTTTTGCTATTGGGGCATATTCACAACCTGACATTTTTGCAAAAAGAGGAAAATCTCTCTCTCTGAACTTCCAGCTACACTCCTGGAATTCTTCTTCTTCTTCTTCTTCTTCTTCTTCGCGTTCACTGGCTGTAAACTCCGGCGGAAAGTTCTGGTTGTTCGTCCACTTCTGGACTGCAGCTGAGTGTTGTGTGTGCATCCGTTTGACAGATCTGTATGCAGACTGTTGGTTCCTTGCCTCTCAGGCAGATGCACTCCGACTTCGAAGGAAGCTCCCTATTAGTCGACTCTTACGACATGCTTTTGGGTAGGCAGTGGGTCTATTCTTGTTTTTCCCATAGTAGGGCCCCGGAACCCACACGGAGGGACTCCCGGAATTAATCCTGGTGGCGCAAAATGATAATTTTAGTTCCACTTATTTGAACTAGAGGTGGCCTTAATTTGAAATGGCCTCTGGCCAATTGTTTTTGTCTGTTGAGAATGATAGATTCTGATGGCATGTTTATTTCTATTTCTGTCTGTTGAGAATGATAAATTCTTATGATATATTTGTTTCTTTCTGTCTGTTAAGAAGATACATTTGGATTGCGTGTCTGTTTCTGTCTGTTGAGAATGATAAATTCTGATGGCCTGTCTGTTTCTTTCTGGTGAGAATGATCAATTCTTATAGCATCTTCTGTAGGACAGGGGGGATAGACCCACTGTCCCTTATAAAGTATGTTGCAAAAGGGGACTAGTTAAGGTTTTGCTGAAGTCAGATGTGTTAGGTTGAGAATGATGCCTTTTTAAGGGTGAAGTTAGAAATTGGAGAAGAAGACAGTATGTTTCTGTTCATTGAGAGTGATAGATGCTGACAGTTTGATCTATTTGTTCAGAGCAAAATAGTCTGACGGTGTGTTTTGTTTGCAAAATAGTCTGACAGTGTGTTTTGTTTGGTGAGAATAATAGATTCTCATTTGATAAGCAGAATAGATTCTGACAGTGTTTCTTTTAAGAGTAATAGAATCGAAGAGTGTGATACTTTCTTTTAAGAATAATAGATTCTAGCAGTGTGTTTCAGTGATAATTATATATTCTTGGTATCTTGCTATCTTTTAATAAAATGATGGAATCTCACCAAATGAACAGCAAAGAAGAACTAATAGTGTTCCAGTAATGTTTCCCAATAGTGTTCCAGTAATGTTTCCCAATAGTGTTCCATTAATGTTTCCCAATAGTGTTCCAGTAATGTTTCCCAATAGTGTTCCAGTAATGTTTCCCAATACTGTTCCAGTAATGTTTCCCAATAGTGTTCCAGTAATGTTTCCCAATAGTGTTCTAGTAATGTTTCCCAATAGTGTTCCAGTAATGTTTCCCAATAGTGTTCCAGTAATGTTTCCCAATAGTGTTCCAGTAATGTTTCCCAATAGTGTTCCAGTAATGTTTCCCAATAGTGTTCCAGTAATGTTTCCCAATAGTGTTCTAGTAATGTTTCCCAATACTGTTCTAGTAATGTTTCCCAATACTGTTCTAGTAATGTTTCCCAATACTGTTCTAGTAATGTTTCCCAATACTGTTCTAGTAATGTTTCCCAATAGTGTTCTGGTATTGTTTCCCAATACTGTTCTAGTAATGTTTCCCAATAGTGTTCTGGTATTGTTTCCCAATAGTGTTCTAGTAATGTTTCCCAATAGTGTTCTGGTATTGTTTCCCAATAGTGTTCTAGTAATGTTTCCCAATAGTGTTCTAGTATTGTTTCCCAATACTGTTCTAGTAATGTTTCCCAATACTGTTCTAGTAATGTTTCCCAATAGTGTTCCAGTAATGTTTCCCAATAGTGTTCCAGTAATGTTTCCCAATAGTGTTCCAGTAATGTTTCCCAATAGTGTTCCAGTAATGTTTCCCAATAGTGTTCCAGTAATGTTTCCCAATAGTGTTCCAGTAATGTTTCCCAATAGTGTTCTGGTAATGTTTCCCAATAGTGTTCCAGTAATGTTTCCCAATAGTGTTCTAGTAATGTTTCCCAATAGTGTTCTGGTATTGTTTCCCAATAGTGTTCTGGTATTGTTTCCCAATACTGTTCTAGTAATGTTTCCCAATACTGTTCTAGTAATGTTTCCCAATACTGTTCTAGTAATGTTTCCCAATACTGTTCTAGTAATGTTTCCCAATACTGTTCTAGTAATGTTTCCCAATACTGTTCTAGTAATGTTTCCCAATACTGTTCTAGTAATGTTTTCCAATAGTGTTCTGGTATTGTTTCCCAATACTGTTCTAGTAATGTTTCCCAATAGTGTTCTGGTATTGTTTCCCAATACTGTTCTAGTAATGTTTCCCAATACTGTTCTAGTAATGTTTCCCAATACTGTTCTAGTAATGTTTCCCAATAGTGTTCTAGTAATGTTTCCCAATACTGTTCTAGTAATGTTTCCCAATAGTGTTCTGGTATTGTTTCCCAATACTGTTCTAGTAATGTTTCCCAATACTGTTCTAGTAATGTTTCGCAATACTGTTCTAGTAATGTTTCCCAATAGTGTTCTAGTATTGTTTCCCAATACTGTTCTAGTAATGTTTCCCAATAGTGTTCTGGTATTGTTTCCCAATAGTGTTCTAGTAATGTTTCCCAATAGTGTTCTAGTAATGTTTCCCAATACTGTTCTAGTAATGTTTCCCAATAGTGTTCCAGTAATGTTTCCCAATACTGTTCTAGTAATGTTTCCCAATAGTGTTCTAGTAATGTTTCCCAATAGTGTTCTGGTATTGTTTCCCAATAGTGTTCTAGTAATGTTTCCCAATAGTGTTCTAGTAATGTTTCCCAATAGTGTTCTAGTATTGTTTCCCAATACTGTTCTAGTAATGTTTCCCAATAGTGTTCCAGTAATGTTTCCCAATAGTGTTCTAGTAATGTTTCCCAATACTGTTCTAGTAATGTTTCCCAATAGTGTTCCAGTAATGTTTCCCAATAGTGTTCTAGTAATGTTTCCCAATACTGTTCTAGTAATGTTTCTCAATAGTGTTCTAGTAATGTTTCCCAATAGTGTTCCAGTAATGTTTCCCAATAGTGTTCTAGTAATGTTTCCCAATACTGTTCTAGTAATGTTTCTCAATAGTGTTCTAGTAATGTTTCCCAATAGTGTTCTAGTAATGTTTCCCAATACTGTTCTAGTAATGTTTCTCAATAGTGTTCTAGTAATGTTTCCCAATAGTGTTCTAGTAATGTTTCCCAATACTGTTCTAGTAATGTTTCTCAATAGTGTTCTAGTAATGTTTCCCAATAGTGTTCTAGTAATGTTTCTCAATAGTGTTCCAGTAATGTTTCCCAATAGTGTTCTAGTAATGTTTCCCAATACTGTTCTAGTAATGTTTCTCAATAGTGTTCTAGTAATGTTTCCCAATAGTGTTCTAGTAATGTTTCCCAATACTGTTCTAGTAATGTTTCTCAATAGTGTTCTAGTAATGTTTCCCAATAGTGTTCTAGTAATGTTTCCCAATACTGTTCTAGTAATGTTTCCCAATACTGTTCTAGTAATGTTTCTCAATAGTGTTCTAGTAATGTTTCCCAATAGTGTTCCAGTAATGTTTCCCAATAGTGTTCTAGTAATGTTTCCCAATACTGTTCTAGTAATGTTTCTCAATAGTGTTCTAGTAATGTTTCCCAATAGTGTTCTAGTAATGTTTCCCAATACTGTTCTAGTAATGTTTCTCAATAGTGTTCTAGTAATGTTTCCCAATAGTGTTCTAGTAATGTTTCCCAATACTGTTCTAGTAATGTTTCCCAATAGTGTTCTAGTAATGTTTCCCAATAGTGTTCTAGTAATGTTTCTCAATAGTGTTCCAGTAATGTTTCCCAATACTGTTCTAGTAATGTTTCCCAATACTGTTCTAGTAATGTTTCTCAATAGTGTTCTAGTAATGTTTCCCAATAGTGTTCTAGTAATGTTTCCCAATACTGTTCTAGTAATGTTTCCCAATACTGTTCTAGTAATGTTTCCCAATAGTGTTCTAGTAATGTTTCCCAATAGTGTTCTAGTAATGTTTCCCAATAGTGTTCTAGTATTGTTTCCCAATACTGTTCTAGTAATGTTTCCCAATACTGTTCTAGTAATGTTCATCAATAGTGTTCTAGTAATGTTTCCCAATACTGTTCTAGTAATGTTTCCCAATAGTGTTCTAGTAATGTTTCCCAATAGTGTTCTAGTAATGTTTCCCAATAGTGTTCTAGTAATGTTTCCCAATAGTGTTCTAGTAATGTTTCCCAATACTGTTCTAGTAATGTTTCCCAATAGTGTTCTAGTAATGTTTCCCAATAGTGTTCTAGTAATGTTTCACAATAGTGTTCTAGTAATGTTTCTCAATACTGTTCTAGTAATGTTTCCCAATAGTGTTCTAGTAATGTTTCCCAATAGTGTTCTAGTATTGTTTCCCAATACTGTTCTAGTAATGTTTCCCAATACTGTTCTAGTAATGTTTCCCAATAGTGTTCTAGTAATGTTTCCCAATAGTGTTCTAGTAATGTTTCCCAATACTGTTCTAGTAATGTTTCCCAATACTGTTCTAGTAATGTTCATCAATAGTGTTCTAGTAATGTTTCCCAATACTGTTCTAGTAATGTTTCCCAATAGTGTTCTAGTAATGTTTCACAATAGTGTTCTAGTATTGTTTCCCAATAGTGTTCTAGTAATGTTTGCCAATAATGCTGTTTTCTTGCTTTGTTAATATAGGAGTATGCAGACCAGCTTGGAATACCATTTTTGGAAACTAGTGCTAAGAATGCTACCAATGTGGAACAGGCCTTCATGACTATGGCGGCCGAAATCAAGAACAGAATGGGCCCAATCACAGCTGCATCGGACAGTAAACCAAGTGTAAAGATCAACTCAAGCACACCTGTCAATGCAAACAAAGGGGGCTGCTGTTAGTGTGTGTGTTTTATGGAGCTGATTCTTCTGTT